ACACACACACACACACACACACAATCATAATTGGACACTCTTAGAGGATCCAACTTCTCCTTCGTTAAACAAACACAAAAAAGTCATCTTGGCCGGGGTGGGGGGTGGGGGTCTTTGCCTGTTTGTTTGTTTTTTCGTAAGTTATTGATTTTCGTTAAGGTTGATGTCCCTTCCAGTACATACTGTTATCAAAGACTAACCACTTATATTTTGATGTCCTTCTCCGATATGACGAAGAAGTATCTATCTTGAAGACACCCTTTAAACAGTTAATGGGATTCTATCGGGATTGCACTCTGGATTTCCATGTCGCCTTCTGTCTTTTTCTTGCCTAATTCTCAACATTGTTGTCCTGTTTTTTTAAATTTGAAATCACATGGCCACACTAGAGGCACAGTGTCCATCCCCAACCCATTTTAGAATTGTATTAAGTGTTAATTTTAGCGGGTGGTTGTAGGGTGCCACTGGTAGATCCTGGGCCTATTTTTTACTTTCCCACTGTTGTTTCTGTCTGTCTGTCTTATTTTCCCCAGCACAAAATGACCATTATAGTGTCAATGAGCTTCTCTTTACACAATTAAACAAAGATGTAGGCCTACTTGTTTTATCCCCTCAAAGGTCTTTACAGCAACGATCCGCTGGAGGCATTAGCCATAGATGAAATCTGCCAGCTGAGGGAGGATTTGTTGATTCCAGAGACAAAGCATTATCTCGAGAAAGATGAGACAGAGAAGGTAAAAAATCTTATGAAACATAATAATAACGTACTGTTCAAATAAAGAACGAGACAGTCTTTACTCTTCACGGTGTGGATTGTTGAAAGGTGTTGATAATCTTTATTGACCCGTTATTGTTTCTGTTTTGGTGCGGAGTTGGCGGGTGCTTTGATGTTATTTGCTCCTTCTTCCTATCAAACACTATCGTCCTTATTTTTCCTTCTTTTTTGTGTTTGTTACTCTCTTGTTACGCTTCTAATCTTCGGCACTTATATGATCTAAGTGGGTTGCAAGTGCAGTAAAACTCTCACGAAAGCTAAACAAACTTGTTTCTGTTTGTGTAACTTACTCTTTCCCGGCACTAAATAGCAGCTTTCGTGTCTTTGTATAGATCTAAGTTTTGTTCAAGCCATTTATAACATTCCCCTGCAAAAAAAACTGAGTGGACAGTTGAGCAGGTCCACAACAAACCCCATAAAATGAGAGAAGAGGTTTGTCCAAGCCCTGTGTCTCTCCAGTATTGTTGTACAGGACATGGCCACCTGGCCGCCAAGAATGCGTAGTTGAAGCGGTCCTCCTTGTGTAAAAGAATATAATTATTTTAGAGAAATCATCGTGCTACACGATATTGCCTGCCAATTTGTAAATAATTCTTACCATTTATTTTTCTATCCAGTCTTCAGTTATTCACTTGTTTTTATGCATAAAAGAGAAATCTTCATTTTGCTGTAAATTCCACGCCCACCTTAACCCCAATGCACTTACACATGTTTGTAAAATGTCGGTATCAACTAAAAATGTGTACATGTCAAGGACTACTATACTCAGTATAGTAGTCCTTGGTACATGTATATATAGAAGTGCTCAAAACGAATCAACACTCAAGTATGTCTACTCTCTGCAACTTATCAGTCTGCTCATGAAAAGAGTGTGTCAAGTGTCAGGCCCTTCTAACTTTTACTATTTTGTTTATTTCAACCTTTACAATGCATTGCAATGATGTGAAACGTGATTTTGAGAATGCCATACTCACATGTTTCAGGCCAAGAAAGAGAAAGACATGTTCGAGAACGTATACCCCAAATTCATGAAGTTCTTTTCTGAAATCCTCAAATCTAATGGCACTGGCTTTGCTGTCGGCAAAAAGGTATGTCAGTACAACAGAGTGTTACCTTCACTTCAAAATGGTGTACTTTATTGCCATTTCGTTAAAAACGAATAATCTCTCTCTCTCTCTCTCTCTCTCTCTCTCTCTCTCTCT